TACTGTTTTATATTGGAATTATATAATTTTAATTATTAACATTTATTTATTAGCTAATAAATCTAATATTTTTTTTAATTGGAAAAATTAATTAATATTTAATTGGAATTACAAAATTTTTATTCCTTGTTTTGTTTAATAACTAATGCAAGCTCACTTTAAATGCAGCATATTATGAAACTACGAATAAAATAAGTTTAAATATAATGTCATTATCAATACAAAATTTCATATAATTTTTAATTATTGAATTTATCCGTCAATCAAAAACAAATATCATACGTATGTAAACATATTAAATATTATTTGCCTTTTCATTATGAAAGAAAAAATTTTTTTTGATTTATACTAGATTGAAATAAACTACTTATTTAAACTCTTTGGTGATTTTTTATGTAATATATGTCGTTTTGCACTGTAGTATTTTAATGATATTTGTTAGTATGACAAAAACTGTTTTGAAATATAACTTAAATTTTATATAAATTGCTTTACTTATATGCTTTCATAATTAGTTATCTTGTGCGCGCTTCATAAAAATTTCTATAATAAATGCAAAGATTCATCGATCAATCAAGCAATCAAATACTTTGATAAATTTTACATCACTGATAGGCTTTCAATGCAATTCTATTCTTCTAATTAATTTTATTTTTATTCGGATTCTCAAAAATTACATGAATGTTTATCACTGAATTGGCCTATAAACTAATAACGATATTTAAATAATCATTCTTTTTTTTTATTACTATCAATTACTGTAATTACTATCAATTTTATCAATAAAACATTTTATAACGAATTGCGTACATTTTCTTAAATGCTCGAACTTATAATAAATAAAATTTGAAACGTTAAATACTATGGTATTTAATCTAATAAATATTATAAAAATTAATTTTATTATCTGTTTTTATGTATTTTTTTAGTTTATAGTTTATTGTATTGTATTTTATTAGTTCGTGAAATTTCTTTTCGTACATTGGAGTAACAATATATCTCACCAAATAATTTAATTTCTACTGATATTTAAGAATTACATTTAATAGTAATGAGCGTGAATTGTAAAATTTACGTTTACGATCGAAGTCGTCGATAGCTACAGGCTACCAAGCTAGTCGGAGTCAATACAATTGTGTATACATAGTATTTGAGCTCAAATAACAGAAAATAAGTACATGGTTGATTTGACATAAACAAACTCTTAATCCTATTCCGATTGACAAGATCTGTTGCATTTGTTTTTATTTTTCTAAAAAGTTAATGTTGATCTTAATAATGTTTTTATCATGAAACATTTGTATTACAAACTCGTTGCAATAACCTGTACAACGCGTAATCAACTCATAGTAAATCAAAATGTGAAATAGTAAAACTACTTTAAAATATTCTTTACTGATTTGAGGCTCTTCAATTCAATAACTGTAACAATAATTGTTGGATTGAGTAATTTCAGTATGCATGTATTTCACACAAGAATAGATTTTTATTACTGCTTTTTATTATAAGAAAATGAGAAATAGTACAGAATTAAAACAGTATAAATTTAAAAATTGTTTATAATTTAATTATGATATCATTAATGAGCTATTTACGAAGATTTGTTGTTAAACTAAATTAAATTAAAAATTATATTTTAAAAATACCATTTACTTTATAGAAAATAAGGTTTGACGTTAAATTATTTTAATTAGAAATACATAATAATAAAGAAGTTCAATAAATTTAGGAATCTACAGATATTAGCTGATATTCTTCACTAATTTATGTATATTAACAAACGTTAAGACAGATTATTAAAAGTTTTTAAGCATTACTTTAATTGAACGGTAAAAAATAGATTGTGTACATTTGAGGGAATTTAATCCATTAATAAATGTGGATATTTTTAATTTACGACCTATCACTCATCTTTCCAAAAATTCTAACGATTTATGAGTTCAGTTATGAGTTAATTGATTATTAAATTGAAAATATTAAAAAGATAACATGTTTAATAATAATACTTAAATTGATAGTCAAAAGTATGCTTCAATCACTTAATGCTAAAGTTATAATTGCAAATTGAAAAAATCAAGTGAAATTAAAATAGGTTGTACAATATTATTTAAAAAAAATAATTTACTAGCATTCGATTTTGATATCATAGAAGTATTTCTAGGTACAAGTAAACCATTCCAACTCTGATAGTAAATATATGACTTTTACAATAGCAATTCTTTGTATTTCGTTATTTTTTATAATACTTATATAACGTTAATAGAATGTTTATTACAATCACTTTTATGTATTATTGAAATAAATAAAATAAATACATATGTAACAGTGGTCTCTAATCATGGATTTTCATTCATATTCTTCGACCGGCATATTTAATTAGTCTATTCGCATATCAAATCCGACATTATAATTATATTCATTTATAATACTAATAGGCAATTTCTTTCATTTTCACATTTATAATAAAGCTAAATGAATAATCAACTTAACTAATGTTCATAATTATAATATATAATTAATTATACAATAATTAAATAATATAATTAAACGAATTTACAATTATGTATTAAAAATTTAGTATTTTAAATAGGAACAAAGAATTCGTTTATTGTATAGAAATAATAGCAGTAGACAATTTAAAGCATCAAGATGAGGCTCCTTCATTTGCAGCTATATTTCAATTTCAAAAATCAATGTCCATAATTGCGATTGCTACGTTTTTATAAATACATATTTTGCTTAATAATTGTAGAAATAAATGTTCAAAGGTAAAGAAAGTGTAACGATTATTTATAAATAAGATTTAACGTAGATCATTTACGTTAGATATTATGTGGCATTTATGTAAGCGTACACGTTAAATTTGCACGTACGTACCAATTAATTATTATTTATATACGCACTAGCATGTAATAAAATAAGTATTATGATGAAATAAATATAATAAGTATTATAAATAGTATTATGAAATAAGTACAATAAATAAACTACAAATTTTTTTATTTTATAATTATATATTAAGATAAACAACTCATAGCTATGTCGCGTAATATGCTATTATAATTCTCTATACCAATCAATTTGTGATAATAAAGCATTTATTGTTTAAATATTAAAATTTTTAGAAAACATAAAACGTACATTGCAGATTAAATTATATAAATTAATAAAAAAATTAAGCAGTTGCCAAATTATTCCATATTTAGAAAAGAATTTTACAATTCAACTTAATATTTAATATAGGTTCTAAATAACAATATTGTAAATAAATATTTTTAATCTTAATTTACTCACCTTGAAATTTACGTGTATTTATTTTGATTCAGTAGAAATTTTTTCATATAAATATAAATCCCATCGATAATCTACATACTTACTATTGTTTTTTGTTGTATAATGGATCATTGGCTATTAACATAATACCAACATCTATAATTCATGAATCCAATGCTATGTAATTGTTTTCATTATAATGAAAAACAAATTTATTATTTATGAAGTTTACTTCTTTTGCATTGTATCAACGCAAATTTGTTTTTATCTGGAATTATTCGGGATTATCATTATCAATGAGTTATCCTTGATAATGAAAAGATGAATATTAAAAGCTATTGAATGAAAATAAAGCAATTAATCGTCAGTAGCTTCAAACGAGTCTTAAATATTTATAATTTACATCTATCAGAACGGCTATAATCTACATATTTTTTACTTAAAAATGCTAGGATATTTATTTAATAAAACTAAATGATCTGATAGTACCTTTACATTGAAATCCATGTAATTCTATTGTATATTTAGAAATTTTTCTTTGCAATTACATTTTTTAAAAGCAATTCATATATCAAATTAATTTTTATCTTTTTTATATTAACATAATAAAAGAATATATACGGTAATTCTGGCAATTATTAATCATTTTACAAAATTAAATTAAGTTTTATTTTGTTACATTCAATGTGTAGCAAACGCATTAAATTATGTATATCCAATGTGTTTATATATAGTATTTAGTACGCTAATATTCATTACCAATCAATAATTAACATTTAATTATTAAATTAAAAATTTTATTTTCTTATAATTGATTCTTTGTATCTAAATAGTTTGAAATTTGTGATAAAATTTTTGTGCCATTCTTATATGGTAGAAAATTAATTACTTTTATTAGTGAATAATATATTGATAAATACTTAGGCTGGAAATAGGTCGCAATACTCAACAGCAATTTAAAGATGAAATAACAGCGTGTTTTCAACCTAATACCTTATAACCAAACATATCATAAAACATCTGTATGAGTGACACTACACTCATCTGCAGATAACGACACAATTAATGGGCTTACTCAAATAAATCTGATCTAAGTTATGGAGTTACTCAAGTTTCCCCATTCTATTTCAGATTTCAACTGTTAAGATCTATAAAGTGACATTGTGTGCCCTACACTTATAGTTTAACCAAGCTATATACTGATTCCACATGATGTGCCAAGGAACGATTTAAATTTTAACAACTTAATTGTTACATGATTAAATATGCGAACATCGGCCATTGTTTCAAATCTTTTTAAATATATAATATCGGTACAAATTCAGTGCAATTGATGTTTACTACAATAAATCAATTTGCACTGATCCAATCAATCAATAAAATATTTCACACAATCTTAAGTTATAATATTCCCTTTTCTCATGTTTTCAATTATATATTTAATATTAATATTTGGATAAATTCCATTAGCCGCATTATTTAGTTCATAATCTTTACAATATTAATTATTATTGTTAATACATTAACACAATGTCTTAGCTAAACCGATTTGTGATTAAGTATTTATACCATATAAATGCAAATATCTCAGTATACAAATGGATAAAAGAAAAAATACTTGACAAACTAATTATTGTTTACAGTTTGTGAGAATTTTAATCACAAATCCATCCGAGTTTTGTTAGTGCTCAAGTTATTAGTATTTTGAAAGGAACAAGTAAAGAAAATAAAGTTCATTATGTAATTAAATTAAAAAAATCAATATAAGTAAAAATTACAAATGTTGCAGTGTTGTCCTTCTGTTTTGATTGACAATTATTTATTTTTTAATCGCCGCTGTACATGTTTAATTTTTCTTCCACTGGACAAGAGGCTTCGCACTGCCATGTTTTACATAATATATCGTAACATACAGATTTTCACCTTTACGGTAATACAGTGACTTCATATTATGTTACGCATCCACTATATAATTTTTTTTTTTTTTAAATTGACAACGCGAAAATGCTCACTTTGATTTCTCAAAGCCTCTCGTACAATTATTAACCAGATTCACAATATCGGGTGGAATGTATTTCAATATAAAGCGACTTACAGAAAATAAAAACTCTTGATTTCACTCGGATTAACATGTCAAGCGACGATTAAGCGCCACTTATATAGGAAAAATTAAAGAGAACGAAAACTAAAGTAGGAAAAAAATTATCATATAAGTCGTTCGAGAGCCTTACTCGTCGATTCGACTCGCTTTCGAGTCTCTTTTGAACGTTCACAATATACACACATATAGTGTCCATATGATTCAAAAATGAGTAAAAATAAAATAAAATATAAGTTACGTTCAAATGTTTTGAGATGTCAGTAGTAATTAATTGCTTCCATTTTAAATCTACATTGTTTTCCGGTAAAATGATTCAGCAGCAATGTTAAAACTTCATCCGCAGATTTTTCACACGTGTTTTATGCACGTGTCATTGTGAATTGTGTGAATGAGATACGACGCAAAGAAAGTTAAGTAATTGGGAATGAAGATGGAGACTTTTAAATAGTGGCTACACTTCATACTCTTGTTTTTACATGCTTTTTCACGCTTATTATGCCATTAATTTGCTTCTTACCATTTCCCAATAATATACACAATAATTAGATGATTACAATACATAAGATTTCTCTATTTCTTTCGCACATGTGTCTTTGTGTACCTTGATTCTTATTACAATAATATTACTTTTATTTATTATGCAAAAGTGATTATGGTTGTACATGTATGGTGATGGTAGCTGTAATACCGGTGAAATTAGAACATCGCACCATCATTATCCGGAATTTTAGATTTGTTCATTTAATATAACATATCCGTTCTTTTGCTTGATTTTTTTTTTGTTCCAAAAATTTAAATCGTTTGTTTTTTACTTTTCATTCAGACGATGTGAAAATCTGTGTCTAAGGAGGTTAGGTCTAAAAATGGATCGCGCGATTTCTTGCAAATTATGCATCACCGTTTGTCTCCGCCTCGACCGCTGCCGCCGCTGCCGCCACGGGTTTTTCCTCCAATTTCGCTTTCTTCGGTGGCGATGCGACGTCTTTCACATCGTCGGTGACATCTGCACCCGTCGATTTCCTCTTTATGTAAACACATTCAGGGGCTGCGTCTAAAACATCGCAGAAAGGTGTGCATTAACATTCGCTATTTTTTTTTATTATGCAACACAATGAAAATTTGGAATATTTTTTAACAGAATAACAAGTTTTTTTATTTTTATTATAATCTATCGTAATAGTAAACCAATAATACTTTTTATTTATTTTTGTTCTAAAGGATGTATTTTCCTACAACAGCATACTTTCATAAACTATAAATCGAAAGATTACTTGGCAAAATAATTATATTTCTTTAAAATATTTTTTTTCAAATATTATGTAACATTTACTGTATTACAACATTAAGTAAAATAATTTGAAATATAAATAAATACCTCTAAATCAATATTTACATTTTCATAAGCTAAAATTGCTTATAATTGTATAAGGATTTGTTATATATATATATATATATATATTCTAATTTTATCTAAAAATAAATTTTCGTGATAATTATCGACTTTAATAAAATTTTTTTTATATAAAATATTGGACTTCAATAATCCAGCCGCTTTCAACGTGACCTATTTACTATTAGCGGCTTTGATATGAAAGGGATGCTAAATTTGTTGAAAAAAAAAAGAAAAAAGAAAATACAGAAAAAAAACCAAGAATAGTGTTTCTTTAACAACACATTTGGTCTATTAATAATTTATGGAAGCACACGTCACAAAAGTATTTTTCACATCTTGCATTGAAATTTCATCTTTTAGTATTTTATGACATTCTTAACGATCTTCCAAATATGAAGCAGATTGTGTGGAAACAGAAATCTTTAAAAGAGTACAAAATAACGATACTTCTAGATGTATTATAGTTACTGAATGCTGAAAATTGTATTGATGTAAAAGGGATAGAGGACGATATTCAGCCTGAATGTTGAAACGGCTTTTCCACCCTGTAGTACTTGACGCAAAGTCGCTCACCTAAGGAGTCACCGTTGGTAGACTCGGCCTCCTTTTCGTCGGTCTCCTTTTCTTCGCTGGACCCATTCTCTTTAGCCTCTTTGCCGTTACCGGTGCCATTGGCGTTGTCATTGCCGTTGCCGTTGCCATTTTCCGAAGCCTTCGAGTCCTCGTCTATTTCCTCCTCAGCTTCGGCTTCTGCCTCTTTTACCGGTGCCACTTCCTTCACCGGCGACTCCTTAACAGATACTTCCTTTTTCTCTTCCTCCACCACCTTCTTTTCAGGCGTGCTTACAATTTTGGTTTCCCTGTGGATTTACAAAAAATTCATACAAATTAGTTTACCTTACTTCCTTAGCTTGTATTTGATTTTCCAAGGGGATAAGGTAAGCCCAAAATTTTAATTTACAAAATGATTTCTTCATATTTTCATTTTTTTGCGATGCAAATGCAATATCAATGTAAAGTATTTGGAAATACTATAAATTGCTTATTTAATTCTGTATTCAATATTAGAAAATGCAAACAATATTCTTTAAATGAATAAATTCCCTAAATATAGAAACATAAATGTCAAGCATATCAAATACATATTATTATAAAATTCATTTTAAAATGTTAACAGCTTTTAACTATATATTTACCGTATATAGAAACTTACTTAGGTAAGGAAAAATTTAATAAACTTCATAATGTTTAGATTCAAATAGATTTATCTTTCAAATATCTAATAATGTAGTTAATAAACTTTATTTTTCCTCGTATATATATGCTTTCTTATTTTTAAAAGAAATATAAATAAATAATTGTATTAATGCTGGTATTTTTCTTTTTAATGACTTCGTAGCAAACTTAGATTATAAGAATGATAACGATAGTGAGGATGAGGTGACCTAAAAACTTGTTGAAGTTTACGAACATTATATTTCTTGCCCGAATATTGGTTGTATTTGCATTCTAATCTCATATACTGATAATTTATATTAAAAAAATTATAATTTCAAATACTCAATTAATTTCATTATTTACGAAATAGCATTTCAAATAAAAAATTAATTATTATATATTTGTGTAATATTTCTTAAAATAGATAATTTTCTAATTTAATTTAATAAAATAAAAGAAACTAAGTTCTTTATTCTAATAAATAAAAACAAAATTCATTCCATTATTAATACAAAAGATACAGTCGTGTTATGTGAGGGAGGGAAAGGATCATTTCAAACGGCAATAAAATGTTTGCCGTTCGGTTTAATACATTGTAATTAAGACAATTAACAATGTACAATGCATTCAAATGGATCAATATATTAGGGACGGAACAACGGACGATCTGAAAAGATAGAAGACTCTAATTCTCTTATTATTAAATTTCGTGCTATTAAAAAAAGACTAATAAAAAAATATGAAGATTTATTAAAATTATAATTAAAAACGTATTTAAAACAAAAATTCGTTATTAACATTAACTATGACTTTTCCGGCAAAATTATCTAGTTCTTTTTAAAAATAAATAACATAAGTTTAATTATTTTTGCATCATTTTAATGATGGTTCATATAACTTATAATTAATCTACATTTGTATATGGCAACTCCTCGTTTTGCAATTCTTAAATAAATTGTTTATATAAAAAATATTTAATCCGATACACAAAATTTCATTTCCCTATCCAATTAGAAATAATACATTATTTCTTCCATAGTTTAGTTTAAACGCCAACCAAGCATATATTTTTACTTAAAGTATTAACATTTTAATAAGTGTCGATTAAGCAGTGATGCAGCGCCACCTGCTAGCAAAATAAGGAAGTAGAGCAATGAAGAAAAGACATCGGAACGCTCGGTTAGCGAAATGATTCTCTCTCAAATTGACCGGAAGAAAGGGCGATGGCGCATTTACGTTATAACATGGAGCAAAAATTAGTCACGACTGTTGCTGCTGTACTACCCAGGCATCGTACATGATATGTATTAAAACAGTTAATATTGCATTTCGCTTACCGTGCGTCTTCGGATTCACTTGCAACGTTATTGTTCATTTTCACGCCTGATGAAATAGAAGATTTTTGCAACTTACTTCAACTTTCTATTTTACAGTCAATGACTAATTTCAAAACGTTCATGCGGCAGGGCATCATTTTGTGACTTAATATATAAGCGAGGATTCAAATTATTAAGCTTTAATTATTCTTGGCATTTATTTATTAAAAAATACTCGTTTTTGTATCTTATATTATTTGAAATATAAAGTGTGACTTGTGTAAAATTGTTTAAAAAGAAAATACAGAATTGACAGACAAATGATAGATTAAAATTATTTCATTAAAACCGTGAATATAATGAAATTGTTCAAAATTCGAAAAATCTACCGATCGTCGTTGTATTTTAATTTGATACTATGCAAATTATCTTATTTAAATAAATAAAGATTTAAGTATCATTTAAACTTGTTTTTTTTGTGTCGGTATGACCTTTGTTCAGTCACCTCATTTCTTTGCATTAAGCTTTTAGATTGTTAAAAAACAAAAATCACAAATAATTTACAATAATCCTTTCTGAAGATTCATGTTTTATTTATTGCAGTATTTTTAACAAAATAATTAACTGTTATTTTGTAATAATAATATTGTATAATATAAAAACCAAATGACAATGAATTTCTTATAGGATTTTAAGATGGTGACGGTTTCTTATTAGTAGAGTCATTTGATTTCTCAAGATGAAATAATTTTTTTTTTATTAAAATAATTCTGAAATATCTTCAATTATTAAAAAAATCGGTGTTAACTTATACATGTTGTATTTTTTAAACTACAAGATTGTTATACGCATTTTTATAATTACATTGCAAACGCTGTTGATGTTATAAGCATATTTTTCATTGAAATATTTATTATGTAGACAACTTATTTTTCTAATACTTTAAAATATTGTTACAATTTGTGACATATATGGGTAAAAAATATTAATTACTATTAATAAATGTAACAAATCTATCTTTTACATTCACTGCCTTTTTATAAATATACTATAAATATATATAATTTGGAGAAATCATGTTTTTATTTCATTAATAATTTGCACGTGTATTGGTAAATCTACGCTAAAAAATTAATTAGTACTTGAATAGCACAATTAAATTCAATGCGCTCTCATTTATAATTAAATGATACCTTTACGTTTTTCATTAATCTTTTTTTAGAATGACTGACTTATGCTTACATTTATATAACCCCTAAAAATACCTATATTGAATAAAATTATAATAAGTAAATTGAATTCCGTTTTCTTTCATAATGTGCATGATTTAATACTTATAAACAAAAAGCTTAAAAATATAAGTCTTGTCAAGCCGTTCGAAGTAATTTTAACTTGGAAATCATTTCAAAATGATAGAGTGGTTTTCAATTTTACGAAAATTTATGCAAAACATATAAATAAATTTATAACTCGTAAAATATTCATCAATTACAGAAAACTAGATTAGAATTTCAAGATATGCAGCTTTTATTTTATCAACAATATCAATAAACAAATGATGCATTAATCGTTTTGAATATTTTTTATCCAATTCATCAAAAAATGTTAAAATAAAATAGAATTTTCGTAATCTTGATTGGATTGTCTTATAATTGAAAATTATTTGAAATCTTATTTTATAATTAATTTGGGAAAAATTATATTTCTTATTAGTTTAAATAAATATCGTCAGTATGTATGATTTTTTCAAATTATAGTTTAATATTATTAAATTTTTTAGTGCAATTGCTTTGTACAATTTTAATATAATCAGTAGTTTATTAGCTAATGTAATGTAAAATAAATAGTGTTCTAATGTACAGAAATAAAATAAATATACGCATAATTATGGTCAAAAATTGAAAAAATTTATATATGTGCGCGCTTAAACGCGTAAAATAGTTCGAATTTTTGAGCTTTGAAATATTGTTTGTATAAAAATATTTGTATTTATACATACTATATTCGTATCGAAAACACGCACAGTAAAAAAAAAAAATGCCACATTTTAATTATTATTTCTACAATAATTGATATTTATATTCTCATAAATGATTGCAGATACATAAATATTACTAATATATTGACTGCAGTTTAATAAAATACCACTAAATAAAAATATTGTCAATAGGTAAATATGTAAATAAGCAAGTAATAAAATTTAGCATAACTGCATATAAAATTCTATTTTTATTTTATTTGTCAAATATTGCGTTTAATTTAACTATTGTATTTAAAAAAAAAAAATAAAACTAATTTCACATTGTATTATTTAAAACAAATTAGACATATTATTTATATAATATTAGGAACGGCGAAATTCAATAAAAAATCCAATATACGTTTCACGTAACGATAGAAAAATAAGTAAAATACTTAAATTAAATATATCCTCCCCATCCCCTTGTAATCGTGTAACCAACGTCCGTTGAGAGAAACTTGAATGAATATACGTACAATACACGAAATATTTATTTTCTATGCGTACAATAAATACACAACAAATTAAAAGATATAGCGAAAATATCCTCTAATAACATTTGTATAAAAATGTTTTCTTCAATTTTAAACGATTTAAATATTGTTCACCTCATGTCAATACAATTTACAATTGAGTGAGTGATTGTTCAAATTAGGAAATATTTACGATTTCTCAATTTGTATAAAAAATTAAATGATTAAGCCATTGATCGTATGCATTTTAAAATCCGTACATAATAACAATAATTATGATCGACATGACATCATGGTATTATGGACAAATAAATGAATTTTATAAATTAGTTTGGTCACTATACATAAGGAATAGATGTATATATATGGTAGGTACGGCAAATATATTTAACATTAAAGTTTGATAATGTTGATTTTGCATTAGAAACCTGAAGTAAATTTTGATCGACATTAAAAATAGCGAGTTATCTTAAAAAGGGGACGAATTTCTAGAGGGATTGACAAAACTTGGATTAAAATAATAGAAAGGTAGAAAATACGACAGTTTGCTCTCGCCGGCTTTCACATGCCTGATTCTTCCCAGCGGGGGAAGGGGTATAGGACGCCAGTAACAGCGCCATCTTGCGGAATCTTTTTTCTTCCCCAAACGCTAACTTGGATAGACTGGCGCCTTCGCGCGTGCGCAAGCGTGTACTCGCGCGCGCGCGTACTTTGTGTGCGTGGCGCAGATGACGAGTAACAACATATAGTATATTGTGTATTCTTGGTTTATACAAGCTGTACCAGCTAATACGCGCGGAATGCGTGTAATACAATATTACAATTCGCGCCACACTGTCGCAAGTGTATGTGCATGTCATATAGCATTCACACCTATATTTTCACCTTGATTCTTAGGCGTTTAGGCGCATGATGGTTACGTGCATACGCAATTTCGCGAGAAAAGTAGCCGGAAAATGGGTAAAAAGTTAGCAAAGACGGAAGGGATAAAATACGACTCAGTCTCGTATTTGAAGAATTGACAATTGTTTGTTTTGGCAAGTCTTACTGAAAAATGCATTCGTCGCATCCTTTTTTACACGCCGGACGCGACTATATCGTCCTTCAAGCGCTACCAACGCAACGCGTCGCGACGCCGCGAGGGTTATATGCGTACAGGCAGGAGAAAAGGAAAAGAAGGATAGCGAGGGCAAATCGATATTAAGCCGGCCATTCTTTCTCCCTTTCTCTCTCTTTCTCTCGTCTACGTCAGGCATGGTACTACTCTGAAATGAATGCAAACACACGTGTGCGGCTTCTTACACGTACATGGCCGATTCACGGGTTACACGAGTTGGACAGGCAAAGAAAGAGAAGTAGATCGAGAGGTCGATCCAAGCCTGGACGACCGCCAGAGAGGTTATATACGTATACGGTCGGTCGTTTACCTCCCTCTCGTTCACTTCTTCCTCACCCGTAATCCCCTCCCACTACTTTCTCCTTGTTTCCTCCGTGACGGCAAACGCGTGCGCTTGGGAACATTTATAGCGCTGGGTATACGCGCACGCGAGATCTGCCGAATTTTCCGGACTCTGTCGGCGGGTCGTCGCGTGCTATCGATCGACCCCTCGACCACCAAGCGAACGGGAGACAACGGGAGAACGGCAACAGACGCGCCGCGTGTTCCACAATGGAGCCGCGGCCGGGTGTAAAATCGAAACGCGCGCGCTTTCACGACTTCTGTCCCGCGCTCCTCGGATCTCTTTACGAAAATGTATTTTAAGGTAGGTGAGGCATTGCGAGACGAGTTCTCGGCGACGACGCGATAACGCTGTACTCCTTATCCTGCGACTTTCCCGCGGTTTTGCCCATCCGCGCGGGTAATAATGAAAGGGAGAGGATGAAGCGTTTTCTCGACGCTGACAACTTACTTCGTCTCTGTGTCTGCCATCTCGACGCCGATGCTGTATAATACACTGAATAACTTGTGCGAGAAAGTCTTGAGGTTTTTCCAACTCCACTTCACGTCTACTCGAACGACGTTAGTACGTATCCGTCTCGGAGCACCAGAGCAACTGCGGGAAGCGCGCGTTCTCTCTCTCTTGAGGGGCGCGGGGGCAGTCGAGCCGGCCGCAGAAACGAGCGTGGGGCAAGTGGCGCGGGAACGGCGGGAGGCGGAAGGGGGGCTTAAGAAGGGAAGGCGGCGTGAACGAGAGAGAGAAAAACCGAGGTGCAGCAACGCGCGTGCGAAGCCGGTGTAACTGGTACGGGAGGCAACGAGGGAAAGACTTGGGTAGTTGCGCCGTGCTCGGCGGCAGCACTGCGAAGCGCCCGTATATACTCGCGCTCGCTCGCACCCGCGCGATATCACTATGCTCTCGTCCTCTTCCGACCCCATCGCCGTCGGGGGGGGGGGGGGGGGGGGGGGGGGGGGGGGAGCGGTTGGTGCGGCTTCCGCGGGGTATACAGGCGGGAGAAGGGATCGCTGCCGTATACGTACGATACTTACACATTCGCTGGAGTGAGGCGCCGGCGCGGGCCCCCACCCCCGCAATGAAAAGAACGAGGGGAACGCTGAGCTAGTCTATACGAGCGGGTTGTGAGCGGGGGGAGCGCAAAAAAAGCAAGTGTAAAATTTGTAGGAATATTTACGCTGGGGCTCGCGAGATAGTAAACGTGTACCTTGTCAGTGGCGGCCTTTAGCCTACCTCGAGGCTTTTCTAAGCTCCTAAGTATCGAGTAAGGATAGAAGATGTATTTACCATCTGACAAACGGGTGGTAATGATATTTTATTGGAACTGCGAACAACTAATTTGCTGCGAAAGAGGGCATTATTATTTCATCTTTACTATCGCTTTTGGATTGCGTATGCTTAATCAGTCGTACATGCCACAATGATTATCAACATTTATACACAGATTTTTATGTACTGTCGATGATGATTTTTTATTTTATTTAATTTCTAGTCGGAGGTGTTAAATTAAATCGATCACTGTCATAAACCCGCGTTAATTTTTTAAATTTTTGGCTATAGCTAATAATACCATTCGAAATGATCAGTGTTATTGTTAAAACGTGATAAAAACAGAGTTCTTTTAAAGTTAAAGGGCACGAGAAGAAGCTGAAATGTTATGTTATGTAAATTTTGAGTCAATTTTTGCTTTCTTAAGTTCATACCTTATTCGATATTATTAAAGGAAATAAATTCTCTGACCCACTAATTGCAAATAAGTTAATACTCGACAGTTTTCGTGGAACACGGAAAATATCAAACCACGATCGAGCCGTTCTTAATATATAGATATTAAATATAGATTATTTCCTCGATACATTTATGTATTTTATGAATTTTAATGTTTTTTGTATAGTTGCATGGATATTCTCAAACCCACAGACACCTACCTACATACGCGTAGCTTATATTTCCTACACGCGAGCCGGGTCGCATGCACACGCTGCAAAAATACACACGTAGGGGTCGCGCGCGTACTTTCTCTCTCTCTGTCTCTTTTATTCTCTCGCTCTTTCTTCGTATCCCAATGTCGTGCTAGAGAAAAAGAAAGATGAGAATAGGACGTGTGTTTTTGAGAACACATGGTCGCACACTGTTTTAGAAACTATAAAATCAACGTTCACGTAGAGCCAGTAGCAAGCGAGGGGAATGAGAAAGATAGAAAGGGAGAGTTGGAAATAACATGTAGTAAGAAGAGTGAAAAAGTTACGAAAGGAACGTAAAAGAAAGAAAAGCATAACGGTAAAATACAAGTTTCTAATGTTTGAAAAAGAGTAATAAGTATGGCAGTGGCTGGCGGGAAAGGGTAGAATAATATGAAAATAATCGTGGTGGTACGTGTCGAAACGAACAGAAAAAGGGGTGACGGAGAGAACAATGTAGAATAAAAGAATAAAATTGTAATAGTAATGCATTCATGAGTTATTGTAAAGACATGTAAGATCATAATTCTAAGAGAAACTTGTGCAATAGATAACAAAGGCACAAAATCATTAGGTTTAAAATAATTAGTAGTCATTGATTCAAAAGGTAAGGAAGGGAAGGAGGGAAATAAATCATAATTACTTGTAACGATTAATTTACATGGGTTCATATAACCAATAAAAAGAAAATTATTAATAAAATTAAAAAAATAATCGGATACAAACGAAAATACTGTTAGCCGAATGAAATTGCAGGAGTAGAAGAGAGAAGATGAAAGAATGAAATGCAGTGTATTAACCGGCCGGCTCGTAAGGCGGCGTAACCTTTAAACGCCGGTAGCCCCGCGTTACCACTGATAAGTAGAGGGCGCTATTTTTAAATCCTGGACTTTTACGGGATTTAGGTTTAACGCGCAATGATCGATTGCTAGTGTCTTTCATTCTTTAATGTTAATTTATTCTTCTAATATTTATTTTTTAACTAAATGTTGAATTAAATGGTCGTGGGCGACACTCGTCCAAATTATAATTTCGTTAATATTATAATTATTGTAATACCTTATTGAATTGACAAATTGAGAGCTTTTTCAGATTGTACTTGTAATACAAGTTTTGAACGTTTTATCAAATAGAAAATTGCATATGCGTGCATAGGTTTCAATACAAATTTATTTCTATTTTTATAATGGTGAACTTTGGAATAAATTATGAATCGTAGTTTGTTATTTCTATTGAATCCGAGCTCGATATTAGTTAGTTTATTGCACTTGACTAATTGATGGCTTAGGGCAATAAGTTGTAAAGATCCCAAATTTTAATTCAATATTTGTAATAATCAATAATTGTCATGCGGAATGCCTAAAAAAGTATGTCACATACGATCATAACTATATGTATAACCTCAATTCTTGTACGAAAAAAGGTGAATTTTTGACCGTTTGCAAAAAAATTCTTAAAAATATCGACGTGCTTTTAGTTATCAACTCAATATGAAAAGTCTTTTGTCCTAAAAACATATATAAGGATTAATAAAATGTGAAGTTATGGGCAGATATACCGGCCTTGCAATACACATGCAATATAGCTATATTACATATAGGTTGTATATATATAGATAAGTATGCATATATATATATATATATATATATATATATATATGTAGGTTGGGGGTCACGATATTCTAGAAGCTTCGTACGGCGCCACTGATGCTTTCAGTTTCCTGTGCCTGCGCGCGTCGTTCTTCGATCCTTTGCTCTCTTCTGAGCTCCGCTATCTCATTATCTCTCTTACACTTGCCAACATAAATGTGGTGTGCCGCGAATCCATGTTAAGAGATACGTTCACCCGTCATATAACGGCGTTCCTTTGCTCAATCGCTGCATTTTGTAAGTCTTACGCCCCTTTTTCCTAGGACTTTAACCAGCTTATATAGTTTTATTACCTGAAAAATAACGAGTTAACGAAGTAATTATTAATAACCGATTGATTATCAACATTTAATTATCAATTGTAGTTACTTCGATGTTGGATCTGTTTTATTTAAAGCAGACTGCATAATATGGATAATTAAAACTCTTCGATTCATTTCATTTTGCAATAATTAAGTTAGTCATAAATTAGTCCCGTAATCATGAATGTATATACTTCAGCATATACTACGAATTTATACTCCTAAAATCTAATAAAACTAAATACCTTATTATCAGTGGCTATTATTAAATTAATCTATCATACATTTATTGACTAAATAAAATGAGATAAGTTGCAACTGTTGCTCTACTATCGTCTTTTACGTAAGGTATGAATAAATTCTATTAAACTCGCAAAATATTTTAAACTTCAATTTTTTTTCAATATTTCTATATGTACACCATAATTTATGTTTAGCAATCTATACAATAATTGATTTTTATATTAAAAATTATTGAACTTGTTAGTAATAAAAATAATTACAATAGTATTGGCAATCATTTTATTTGATGCAGCATAAGTACTGCATATAAAAAATTTCAGTTGCTTCAATTTTTTGAATATTGTATTTTGACAAATAATATATTTTGACTATTGCTATAAAATACTTTGCTTCCTGCTGCTCCTATTTATTCTATATCATGTGGAAATTTTGTTTTGGAATTTATATGACGCTAGCTATTCAATAAAAGTATAACAATTCGAAAATTACATCTTATTATATTGAAATATCCTTAATTTAATTGCTTTGTACCATTATATATGTACATATTTATGCATATACATATGACATACACAATGCAGACACAACATACGTGTATCCATACATACTCCGACACGCATTCATACATATATAATCCGCGCACAATATACGTGCATGTGTATATAGTACACACAGGCGCGCGCCCACACAAACAAATATATATATTTTCAATGCTTATTTTAAATGATAAAAATTGACCAAATAAAATTATAGATACTTTATAAGTATTAGATATCAGATTCATTATAATATACAGAGGAAATATTAAAAATTATAATGGGTTGGTAATAACATTATTAAAAATTTGAGGTTTTAGAATGCATATGAGCATACCTGCACGGATATTCATATAATAGAAAAAGGAATGATAAATATTAATTTTATGAATTCAGTGAACATGGACTAGTTTTTCAGTACATATGAATAGAATTTGATTGCTTAAAATTATACTCTTTAAATATTCTATTTGATATAATTCTCGCTTATCGGTTATTATTTTATTCACTTTAAGAGTCAAGATATAATGAAACAAGATAATAAAACTCTCAAAACTTATTTCTTAAATTTTCAAAATAGGAATATAATCCAATATCAATTTTTAAATATGGCAGTATGTGCTAGCTTACAAATTTTTATTGGCATTTAAATATATTTATTTATATATTTATTATTATTAATTTATATAAATTTAAATATATTCACAAAATACTAGTTTTATTATACATTATAAAAACTTCCTTGAATATAGGCAGATGATATATGTTCAGATCATTATTATATTTATTAATTGAGTAAAGTTCAACCCTTAATAATATTATTCATTGTTGTG